GGATGAAGCAGATTGTCACCTGCTTTTCCAGTGCTGGTTCCATAAAATGACAACTGCTCTATAGAAAGTGCTCTCCTATCTAACGACACAAAGCTAAACATTCCACCTTCCTGAAATAAGTGCTGTTGGATATATTGTAAAGAAAAAATAATGTATTTATCTATATAGTTCTGCATTTGTGACATTGGTTTTTGTTGTTAGCAGTTAAAGCCACAAGAGCAAACTTCGTAGCATTTCTTTGGAAACTCTTTCTCTCCATAACTGTCAGATAATAAAAGTATTTGACAAGATACACAACCCACTGCAACTCAGATAGACCTATTGTAGGAGATGACCAGGCTGAGCCTAAGGGAGGAGTCAAGCATGCCATCAGTCTCTAATCCTTTCATGCTCACAAGAGATCTAAGTCTAACCCACCTTGAATCCCACCGTCTCTTATCTATCACCAATTTGTTTTGACTGTTAGTTCAGATTTTTGTAGAGAGTCTTAAACCTGCATTCATTTGAACCACCTTGCATCCTGAGTTCTTGCACCTGGCCATCACTGTAGCTAAAATGGAGGAAACAGGCTTTATTTCCAATGAGTTTACTACAAAACTCTGCAGGATGGAAAAGTCTCTTCTGGCTTTACTGCACACGCCCAAAATTAGGAGGGAGCCTACTTTCCTGCTATTCGTCTGCTAATACTAGTCTGGTACACAATAACCGCAAATTGACAGAGTGGGCTGTATTTTCTGTATGATCTCATCTCTCTATTATAGCTGGGTATTCTGCGAGTTGCTTCCCAAGAAAATTTATAGGTTGGTATGGTGGAAAAAGCACAACTAGCTAATTCAGATTTCTAAATTTGAATCTGACTATCCTGAATATAGGTCAGTACACTGCATGTATTTTCTATGGTAGCTGACAGTGGCCAGAAGAGATGAAATCAGAAATGAAATTGTTAAGACAAAGAATTGGCATAGAGTCAATCTTAAACAAAAACAGCAAATAAAGTGATTTGCTCACCGGGAAAGAATGTCTTGGGATTCCATACCATATAAAGCATATAGAAAAAAGAAAAGAAGGCCAAAGAATATGAGGCAGACCCAGAAGAAGATGGAGACAACATCAAAGGCACATTACAACAGCATGAAATATCAATGGTTGAGGCTGCCAGAAGAGTTAAGAACCAGAACTTTGTATCTGTCTTGACACTTGAAGCGGTAAAAGAGGAAGTAAAGAAAAAAGAAGAAAAATGTAGCCACAGGATAAAAAATCTTGGTTAGCATAGAGTAACAGGGATAGGAATAGCCGGTTTTGACCTATTTTGGTCAATATGCCACAAATACAACTAGTTTCCAGTTTTACTCTATGCATGCTCATGCTATACCACGCAACACTAATGAAAAGTTCTCAGTATGGTCCAGACTGTTTCTTGTTAATGCCAATAATAGAACTTGGGGAAAATGGTGGTAGAAGAAGAGGAAAGAAGGGAAAGGAAAGACTGAAGGTAGAACAACTGCAGGAAGAAAAAACTCAAATCATGTAAGAAAAAAAAATATTACAAGATAGATCAACCTCCAACAGAATGAATGGAGAGTTGGATACAAGGAAAGAGGATATATTACAGAATGGAACAGAATGGAAAGAAGGATGTGACAGAGTGCCACAGAATTCAGTGGAGAACCACAAGGGCCACACCACTTTCAACAAAGTCAAAATGACACTTGAGTGGTGATGTCATCAGGCAAATACTACCCCTATGTGCAGGTCGTCCTTGACTTACAGCCATTTATTTAATGACTATTCGAAGTTACAAGGTATTGATTTAACAGCTAACCAATTTATACTACTAGTAGTAATAATAATAGTAGTAGTAGTAAAGTTGGAAGGGACCTTGGAGGTCATCTAGTCCAACCCCCTGCTCAGGCAGGAAACCCTATACCATTTCGGACAAATGGCTGTCCAGTCTCTTCTTAAAATGCTTCCAGTGTTGAAGCATTCACTGTTTCTAGAGGCAGGCTGTTCCACTGGTTAATTGTTCTGTCAGGAAGTTTCTCCTTAGTTCTAGGTTGCTTCTCTCCTTGATTAGTTTCCACCCGTTGCTTCTTGTCCTGCCCTCAGGCGCTTTGGAAAATAGCTTGACTCCCTCTTCTTTGTGGCAACCCCTGAGATATTGGAACACTGCTACATGTCCCCCCTCGTACTTCTCTTCATTAAACTAGACATACCTAATTCCAGCAGCCATTCCTTATATGCAGTGCTTTTTTTCTTAAAAAAAAAAAAAGTGCCAGTACTCACACATGTCATACAACCTGCTTTGCCTCCCCTACAAGGTTCCATCCAAAAAGGTGCTGGAACTCCGTTCTGGGCGTTCTATGAGAAAAAAAGCCCTACTTATATGTAATGTATAATATAAGATGTAATGATGGGAATGACTCAGCAGGGTCTGTGTCTCTTTAAGAGCCTTTGTATAAAGGGAAGTCTCTGCTGATCTGTTCTCTGTCTTCCGTTTCCTGCTGTAACTGTGGTTTGTTGGACCGACAATGAATGGTAATGAAAAGAAGTTTTGATCAGTCCTTGTACTTAGATTATTGTAGCATCCCTGTGCTCATGTGATCAACATTCACCAGTATTTATTTACAATGGTTGCAGCATCTAGGGTTATGTGATCACTATTTGCAATTCTCACAGTCAGCTTCTGACAAGCAAAGCCAATGTGGAAGCTGGATTCTCTTAACATCTATGTGATTTAACTTAACAATTAAACTGATTCACTAAACAACCACAGGAAAAAAGGTCATAAAATTGGGCTCAACTCATTTAACAACTACCTTGCTTAGTAATGGAAATTTTGGTCCCATTGGGGTTTTACGTTGAGAACTATGTCCTGGCATCTCATACAAGCAACCTACAAGTATATAGGCTGCAGTATTATATGATGATTTCATCACATGCTTTATCATTAGTCTCCCTGCAAGTGACCATGGCTTGTGGGAAGCATGGAGAAGGATGCTGGGTAGATTGATGAAGGAAAGAAGCTGTGGCTGAGGAACAAATTCACAGAGGAGAATGCTGCAAAAACGAGAATAAGGGAAATATATCAAATAATGTGTATATGCTCTGAAGGAAAATAACAATGGTAAGGAAAGTGGCAGAGAAAATGCTGAATGATTTTGATGAAAAAAAATGCTATGGAAGTGAATAAAAAGAACTAAAAGGAGGAATGGAATTAAAAAGAAAAATAATCTGGAAGGAACGAAAATAGAAGAATGCTAAGTTAAATGTTTTGATGATTTATACGGGACTAAGGATACTATGTCAAAAAGTAGATTTGAAAAAAATGCTATAAATGGCAGTGTTCAAAAAAATTGACGAAGAGGAAACCATAAATATGATGAGTGTACTGGAAAAAATGGTAAATCTCCAGATGTAGATGGCTTATGGATATGATCGATTTATGGAGTGGCTCTGAGACTTGTATGGCATGTCTGTAAAATTGCACCTTTGCAGTATGAGAACTATAAGAATACCATCATTGTTCCCTATGCAAACGAAAAAGTTGCAAGAAGGAACACATATATTACAATGGTTTATTGTAAAGCAAAATTCTGATTGAAAGGGTGCAGGAGGTGACAGTGAGCTGAATTTAGGAAGTGTGTTTCCATTCTTTCATAAAGTTCACCTTCCTAAAGTTCTCAAAGGAAGTTCATTGGACATCAGTTGATTTTGAGCAGGGTTTTTTTTTTCAAACTCAGCAACTTTAAGATGCATGTTGGCTGGGGAATTCTGGGAGCTGAAGTCCACATATCTTAAAGTTACCAAGATTGAGAATCACTGGCCTAGGCCAGGGGTAGGCAACCTTGGATCTTTTATGACTCATGGACTTCAACTCCCAGAATTCCTGAGCAGTAAAAGAGCCAAGGTTGCCTACCCCTGGCCTAGGCAAAGGGAGCTGAAGCATTTTTTAAAAAGTCCAGAACAATATTTAGAAGAGTCTCAGGCAAACATCTCATTGATTCACTGAATGTAACAACAGGAGGAGGGATAAAAGAATCAGACATTTTAAAGAAATAAAAAGTAGTTTTTATGGCAGAGGATCAAATTCTTCACTGCAAAAGAAACCACTGGAGATGCAGAAAAGTGTGGAAGGAAATTAGGTGACTTGCTGTTAAGCTTGTTTTTGTTATAGCCTCCTTCCAATACAACTTTGTGGGATAGCTTGCAGGAGTGTGTGATTGTCAACAATCAATGCACTGATGATGTTACCCAGTTTGATAATGAAACGTCTGCAAGAAAATAATCAAACTCAGAGAGCATCAAGGAACTCACTGTCAAAAATGTCTTGAAGACACCAAAGCAGAGTTTTCTCCATGTGGGTTAACACTCAACTCCTGAAAAGGCAAAACTCCATCTCCTTTAAAAATAGATGCATATGTGCTTATCCACAAAAAATGAATGGAGTTGTGGAAAAGAGTTTGCTGGGACTTATAGTGGATTTGCCATAATCACTGGCCAATAGGTTCTCACCTCAATAGCTCTTCTTCAGTTCAAATGAAACCTTCAGGAGAAACTATTGAACTTATCTTTTCTGACACACATCATAATCAGGCAATTATATCTTTGCTTGGAGGTCTTCAACATGCCCTTAAATTGTTTCCATCCTGCTTTTTGTTTTGATTTTTAGGGAGGATTCTTTCCGAAGAAATACATCATCACAAGCAAAATAAATCTTCTCATACACATTTCCTTAAGAGAGGGAAAGGAGACTAGCCTCTTTCATAGAATACACTAAGTTGGCTTAAAAAAAAACTTGGGCTTAAGTTTTTTTAAGCCAAAAAATTTAAAGGTGCCAGTCAAAACACAGGTAATTTTGCAAACTTGCATAAAAACACCTTGAATTAAATGATAAACATCTGCAGTCTTTTCACCTGATGGGGAAATAAAACAATACAAAGACTTCCCACTCTTGCTCTCTCCCTTCACAAACCACCAAGTCCAAAGCAGGAACTTAAAAAGAGTTTCAGGGAGTTATTTTTAAAACGCTGTTCCTATTAACAGCCGGGACTGTGTGAATAACTCAGTCTTTGTTGTCCTGAAGGTGAGCCTTCTTTGGACTCCCCCTTTTTGCTCAGAAAAGGGGGGGGGACAGTTTCACAATGGAGGTGGAGGCTGGCAGACAGTAATTAGTTAACCCATCTTTCTGCCTGAATCCTACTCCTCCTTCCTTTCTCCCCTCCCAGAACCTGTGGTTAAGAAGTTGCATGAAATCATCAACAGGTTCCTTAAAAAAAAGAAAAAGAAAAAAAATTGATCATGGGGAGAGAGGGAGGCTTTTAAGCTGAGCCACGTTTTCCTGCTGCATGGGGCCACAGAAATATATATAAACGAGACTTAAATAAGCTGAGGTCCTGCTTGCTAGCTGTTACTCCCGGGCTATCTCTGATTGCCTTTCCAGCTTCTTAAGAGTTGTAATGCCGGGTGCGATGACCAAATTTCTCTGCTGCACGCTGCTGGTAAGTCTTTGCCTCAAGGCTAACGGTTGTACTTTCCAAAACAATGAGGCTGTTTTCTCTCTGTTTCTTTAAAGCTGCATTTGCCTCTTAAGTCTTCAGTAGCTCTTTGGGCTGTTGGAACAAATTTGGGGCAAGGTCGCTTTTGCTTGTGGAGGTAAAGGAAATGCTTCCCTGGCATGCTTTTTTTTTTTTTGGAAGGAGTATCTTCTGAATCCTACTGTATCTTCACCTGATAGGACTAAAACCATTGCAAATGTCATTAGCGGGCTGATAGATCGTGATTGTCTATGGGACAGTAAGCAATAATCTATGGGATGGAACTGGATAGAGCATAGGGGTGTTTAATTTTAAATGGGTCTGTAAGAAGCTGCTGGATGCCGAGTCAGACCATTGAGCTATCTTTCCCAGCAATGTCTATTGGGTTGGGCAAGTATTCTCCAGGGTCTCAGACTGAGATCCATCATTATACTGAGAGATGACAAGCTCAGAATCTGGATGTTTCTCCTTCTACTGCTTCCTCCTAGTAAATAATACAAATCTTGGGGCATTTTCATATACTAAGTTGTGTACACAGAGCTCCCAGTGACATTGAAGAAAATAGAAAACTTCCATAGATAATTTAGAATCAGTAAACGATTATATGCACTATTAAGTGCCACCTATTCTTCAATTCCTTGAGCTGTTCTATTATGGAATTACAATGGGGGATCATATACTGAATTTATATCCCATCCTGGGAGAATCAATATCTATAAATGTAATTTATCTCAGAATCTGCTCATAGCAAGAAACAGCAATGCCTGGTGTTATTTTGAAGCTATATATTCAATATATTTCATTTTGGGAAAAGAAGTCAAAGGCTGTTGATAAAATAACTGTGAATGCTTCTTTTATTTCCTGCCAAGTTTGTTTCATGTGTATAAGTGGTGAATTAATGCTATCTTTCACTGAAAAGGAGCTTTTCAGACAATAAAAGTCCTTGAGCTCTGATTTTTATAATGATTAGATTTTGTTTTTAAATGGAATTCTGTCCGATAAGAAATGTCTTACTCAAGCCTCATTTCCCCAGTAGTTATAAAGAAAAAGTTTGCTGTTGTTTTGCCCTACTCCCTGCCCCACAAAAACAAAAGTATGATATATATATATATATATAAAAAAAAACCCAGAGGCCCAACTGAACCAGATGCATTAAAATCTACACTAATACCATACAGGTTTGAAAAACATTTCTCAGATTGTCCATTCATACTAACTGATTAAAAAAATACAAAAATATAAAATTGCTGTACACCAAATATACAGAAAGCATTAAATGCGATGGGAATATTCCAGCCTAGGTTAAAACATGTTTATGTGCCATGAGGTTCAAGGAGAGCCTAAAAAAGCCTTACATGGGCTTAATTTTTAAAGAAGTAAGCGTGGCTGAATCAAGGAAATATAGGTACCTCTTATTGACTCTCTACTACAGGTAGTCCTTGAGTTACGACCACAACTGAGCCCAACATTTATGTTGCTAAGTGAAATATTTAAGTGAATTTTTCCTCATTTAATGACATTTCTCACCACAGTTGCTAAGTGAATCATTGCAGTTGTTAACTTTGTAACACGGTTTTAAGTGAATCTGGCTTCCCCATTGACTTTGCTTGTCAGAAGGTCCCAAAAGTGATCATATGACATGACTGCAACCGTCACAAATGTGAACCACTTGCCGAGCATCTGAATTTTGATCACCTGACCATGGGGATGCTGAAATGGTCGTAAGTGGGAACAATGGTCAAAATCACTTTTTCAGTGCTGTTGTAACTTTGAAGGGTCACTAAATGAACTGTTGTATGTCGAGGACTACCTTTACTGTGGGGGGGGTTGCATAGCAGCCTGGCAATCTTAAACACAGTTGCAATTGCTTTCTCTAGTTTTGTTTCATTGCTTTTATGAAATGTAAGCAGAAGTAGTAAGTTTCACAGGAGAACTCCGTTCCTTTTGGTTTCTCATCAGGTTTTAATTAAGTCAGCCAGGTGCTGCCACCTGCTGCAGATACTGAGCCATACAAAGTGATGATTGAAGGTACTGTATGTTGCTTCTTACGTCTAATGAGATTCCACACCAGTTTAAAAGAGGATGGTTTAATGTTTTATTTCGCTGTCTTCAGGTAAACTCTCCTTTGAATTGAGCCAAAGTTTCTGCCTTCACAGTCATATTGGTTTGGATCGGTCAAAAAAGAATCATATCTCTCTCTCTCAATTTTTGGGCATCAGTGTGGATGCATTTATGATCACAATGTTTCTTATATTTCAAGGCTAGCCTACAGCATTTGTACTTCTGAATGGTTCCTTATCCAAATATTAACAAGATTTGATCCTGCTTAGTTTTTTTTAGGATGAACAATGCCAGGCAGTGCAATCCAAAAGTTTGCAGGGTTGTGATTGAGGAGTTTGTCTGAAGAGGTCCAAGTTTAAGCACTTCAGCCCTGGACACTTACTAGATTTGAACCAATCACCATCTCTCAGGCTATCCAACTTGATAGGATTATTGTCATAGGAAAAAATGGAAGTGCTGTGTATGCTGTTTTTATTTCCTGGAGGAAAGTTAAGTACAGGTCAAATAAATGAAACCATTAGAGAGAGAGAGAGATATTAATATTGGAGGGTTCTCTCTACAGTCTTGCTTTGTGAACCTTTGACTTCGGTGGTTAAAAAGCTAATGCAGAATAACATTGGTAGAATGCAGTAAAAAAGAAATAGAGTTGAAATGAAGTCTGTTTTAAGTAAGGATTCTGTTCAGCCAGAGGTCTCTCAGACTGGTGACCAAAGTGTAGACAACAAAAATTCAGCAGATATCCTTCTACAGACATAAGATAACCAAATGTTCGGCCACTAAAACTAATTTCTGTACATTTCTACAGAACTAGCAAGTACAAAATGTTAACAATTGCTCTACCTTAGGCTGACAAATCTGGGCCAACCCACCCAGATGAGGAGTTGATAGAGTAGGACACATTTAAATCCATGGCTCAAGGCAAAGAGTTTAGTATTTGCAGCAAAGTTCAGAGGGAGGAAGTACTCTCTTAGTTCTTTGCATTTTCATTGGGCTAAATATGAAGCCACAACTACTGGTTGGTACTAAATTGACTTGGAAGCCAATTCTTGGATGCTGTGGATTTTACACAGTCATAAAATACTTTGGTATATCCAGTAGTAAAAACAGAGGTCATTTCAAAAGTAATATAGGCCAGGCTGTGATAAATATAGTTTAAACTAGACAAAGCCTTTAATCCCACAAACATCTGTCCTGTGCCCAGTCCATGGGACTGGTGCTCCTTGGATTGAATATCATTAGTCCAACTCCTTGGCCAATTTTCCAAAGCATATTTCCAAACAGAGCACTACTCCCAAGGTATTCTCCCTAGTAACCTCTCTCTTCTCTCTACTTCCTGCACTCAGCTGGGAAATGGTGATTCTCTCATGGATTAATCTTCAGGTTGATGATTCTCTTTTCTTTGGGACAGGACTTGTCCAACACAGCAAGACATTAGGCTTCATTTTTCCAGGTTGTGGGAAGAAGATATATCACCATAGCAAGTTCTTTTCTAAACAAATGAATGTTCACTATTCTGCATAAATGCACCCACAAATAGACACCTGTCTATTGCCATGATAGAATAAAGATGACATTAAATCAGGCAGAAGGCTATTGATGGATAGCTATCGATGATAGCTAATGATCATTGATTGCCAACTACTCTCTGCATTATCTCAGGTAAACAGCTGGATCTTTTCTTCATTCTCTGTCATCTTTCCCACCTCCCTGCTACCTTATAGAATGGAAATGGCTGGAAGCCCCCTCGTCCCATGAAACTTCCTTTGCAAACTGGACTTGAACTGGACTGTCTTTCAAACAGAGTGATGCGGTTATGAGATAAAGGACTGCTCACCTAATTCCTGATTTCTGAGTTTTTCTGGAGGATGATCATAAGTACAGCTGTTATGTACAAGGTTCTTTTCAAGCTATTGTAATGAATAAACTTATCAAAATAGAATTATAGTTCTATAATATAAATATTCACTCAGTGAGATTGATTAGTTAACAAATGACCCAAGGAACTGTGGTCCAGCATTTGTTCCTTCAGGCTAGAGAAGTAAATAGAGAAACTGAACAGTCTGGTATTTATACATATGACATAAAAAAATGCCAGTAATGGGGATTCAGGTTTGTTTTCATCCACAGTCCTCTTCCTGTTTTTCCTTTGTGTGTGTGTGTGTGTGTGTTTTAAGATTGGAAACTTAAGACACAAAGCCTATTTTTTAAAATTGCTTTATCCACTCAAAACCTTTTCAAAAGTGTATCAGGGCTTTTAAATGAATAACAAACTTTTTTCTTCCCACTGTATGTAATGCCTCAACATTATAATTTGGTGGTTCTTGTTTGCTTTTAACAGCATTGAAAAGAAAAGAAATCAGAGCAGATTAATTGTTTATTAGCTATTGGTTGTGATAGCTGAACTGAATCTCTGTCACCAGAACAGTTATATCTCCCTGAGTATCCGGCAAAAAACAGTGGTTTGGGGATAATCAAGTGTATGTCTTGCTGGTAAGCTCCCATTTGTTGGGTACAGCCGGAAGTAGAATGAGTGCCAAACTGGATTTTTGCCTGGAGGCAATTACAATGTTCTTACATAATGTAGAAAAGTGAATGCCAGAATTTACAGATTTGCCTTGGCACTTGCCCAGCCCCTGGCAGCTGTCATCAAAGGAAAACTAGGTTTCAGGATGTGTTTGCAATTCTAAACAGAGGATGCTTTATCTGTTTTAGTAAATTCAAGCATTCTTCTGCGGTCTGTGTGAAAAACCCAAAACCGAAGCATATAATCAATGTTGAAAAAAGTACTTTTTAATTTTTTTTTAAAAAATCACAAGGCTGTGATTGAAAGGGGGGAAAAAGATACTTGAAGGAATATGGACTGTGTTGGTCATTGGCATCCAATCTGTATTTATTTCACAAGGGTGGAGCAGTGACATTGGCTTTCATTTGAAGAGCAGGAAAAAACTTGTGAAAGTTCAGAATTCAATTAATAGAATGTAATTTTTAAAAACGAGGCCACCAAAGGAAAGAAGTCTCCTTTAAACAGGATTGTCATTAGTGTTATTGTGATGATAACAGTACAGATGTGATTGCCCTTAGCTTTATTATTTGAACACTCGGCCCTATCTAACAAAATGAAATTCAATGTAGAAAAAGATAGGGCTTTACACTTAGGCAAGAAAAAACAAATATATAGGTACGGACTAAGTAAAACTTAGCTTAACACAGGAATCAAGATCACGTGAAGTATTAATACCACTCTTTAATGCCTTGGTAAGGCCACACTTGGAATACTGCATCCAGTTTTGGTCACCACGATGTAAAAAAGATGTTGAGACTCTAGAAAAAGTACAGAGAAGAGCAACAAAGATGATTAGGGGACTGGAGGCTAAAACATATAAGGAACGGTTGCTAGAATTGGGTATGTCTAGTTTAACGAAGAGAAGGACAAGGGGGGACATGATAGCAGTATTCCAATATCTCAGGGGCTGCCATAAAGAAGAGGGAATTAAGCTATTTTCCAAAGCACCTGAAGGCAGGACAAGAAGCAACGGGTGGAAACTAATCAAGGAGAGAAGCAACCTAGAACTAAGGAGAAACTTCCTGACAGTGAGAACAATTAATCAGTGGAACAGCTTGCCTCCAGAAGCAGTAAATGCTCCAACACTGGAAGTTTTTAAGAAGAGACTGGACAGCCATTTGTCCGAAATGGTGTAGGGTTTCCTGCCCGAGCAGGGGGTTGGACTAGATGACCTCCAAGGTCCCTTCCAACTTTACTATTATAATTATATAAATCTCGGAATCCTAGTGGACAGTCACTTAAATATAAGCCAGCAAAGTGCTTCAGCTGCCAAAAACACCAATGCAATCCTAGGCTACATTAACAAGATCACAAAACAATGATATTACTGCTATATAATGTATTATTAATGTAATACTGCATCCAGTTTGGGTCATCATCACAATATAAAAAACTCTGGAAAGAGTGCAGAGAAGAGGGATAAGATGATTGGGGGGCTGAAGAACAGTTGCAGGAATTGGGTATGTATAGTCTAGTGAAAAGAAAACTAGCGGTGACATGATAGCAGTGTTCTAATATTTGAGGGACTGCCACAAAGAAGAAGTGGGTCAACTTATTCTCCAAAGCAACTGAAGGCAGGACAAGAAGCAATGGATAGAAACTGAATAAAGAGAGAAGCAAACTGGAACTAAGGAGAAATTACAGCAAGAACAATCAACCAGTGGAACAACTTGTCTTCAAAAGTTGTGGGTGCTCCAACGCTGGAGGCTTTTAAGAAGGGACTGGACATTTGTCTAAAATGGCATAGAGTCTCCTGCTTGAGCAGGGGATTGGACTAGAAGACCTTCAAGGTTCCTTTCAACACTGTTATTCTGTATTCTATTCTGAAATGTATTTTTTTCAGTTAATTAGTTATACCATAATTCCCTGGTTGTTCTCTCTGACCCAAGTACTAACTAGGACCAGCTCTGCTTAGCTTCTTCATCCAGAGAAGGTTGTCTAAAAAAGAGATAATAACTCTTTTTACAATACTGGAGTGTTTTAAATTTACTTAGTTTTTAATTAGCTATATTATGACAAAATTTCAGGCTAACTAATACAATGGAAGGTTATTGTATATGACAATTGGTTGCAGTTGACAGGCAGAGATGATAAAATTTGTCATAATGGTCTGTGACAAATATCTGAGATCTTACATAGCAGTAAATATTTTCCAGTAACTTACCATTTGTGGGACACCAGTTTTTGTGTGATAGATCTTGTGATTTTTTTTATTTTTAACATAGTTTAAAAATATGGTTTAATTCAATGTGTTAATCCAGCCAAATCATAGTGATAAAGGACAACTTAGTACTTGAGGGCACCATCATTGTATTGCAAAAATAAATAAATAAATAAAATACAAACTTTAAAAATGCTTTAATTTTATTTTATTAGTTATTGGACATCTCAGTCAGGTGGACAGTCCAAGAAACTCCTCATCCAAAGTATATCCATTATGATCCTATCACCTCCCATCGGCTGATGTGTGACCAATGTCCTCCAGGAACCTACGTCAAACGGCATTGTACAGCCTCAGCAAAGACGGAATGTGCTCCTTGTCCAGATCAGTCTTATGCAGATGAATGGAACAATAATGAGAAATGTCACTACTGCAACGTGATATGCAAGGAACTGCAGTATGAAAAAATCAAATGCACCAGCACCAGAAACCGTGTCTGTGAATGTGTAGAAGGACGGTACCTGAAACTTGAATTCTGTTTGAAGCACGCAACATGTCCTCCTGGATTTGGTGTTGTTCAAAAAGGTAGGTATGTCTTTATTTTCAAGGGATGATTTCAAGATTGTTCAACTATCAAAAGCTGTTTCAAGGTCAATGAGTAAAAATATTTTCCAGACAATTAGATGGAAAAGTTACTGCTCCCACCTGTCAGGTGTTACGATAAAAGAGTAAACTCTGGTTTATCCGATCCCAAAGATTAAAAACAAAACAAAAGCAGAGACTGATCTAACTGAGGCAGAGTTTATTGGAAAGACAGTATGCTAGAATGACTAGCAGTTGGAGGGAACATCATACTAAGTGAATAACCACATAGGATGGACAAATATATTAACTGCATTTGATTTTATTGTATTTTAAATTACATTATAATTATCCTGTTTCTATTAATCAAAGAATAGCATTGTACAAAGAATAAAGAATGATCAAAGAGAGAAGCAACCTGGAATTAAGGAGAAACCTCCTAACAGTGAGGACAATTAACCAGAGGAACAGCTTGCCTTCAGAAATCGTGGATGCTCCATCACTGGAGATTTTTAAAACGAGGCTAGACAGTCACTTGTCTGAAATGGTATAGGTTCTCCTGCTGGAGCAGGGGGCTGGACTAGAAGACCTCCATGGTTCCTTCCATATTCTATTCTATTCTATTCTATTCTATTCTATTCTATTCTATTCATAGGATGGCAGCCATGACAGATGTCTTTTGGAAATTCAAGTTCCAACTAGGAACCTAAAAATTATCCAAGTAATGCCACAAGATTTAACATGTCCAGCAACATGAGGATGTTATTTAGTTAGGTAAAGAAATGTCTGCAAGAAAACAACCAAATACCAAGGACCCACCCTACTTTAACATTGGTACAGGTAGGAATGAATAATTTAAAGCCATCTGAACCATGAGATATGATCTGATGAAAGTAATGTCATGAGGACACAACATCAAAAAGAACTTACCAGGGTATACTTATGCAGTTATAAGTAAGAAAAAGCTCTTACTAAGCTTACTGTTTTTGCCATCTGCTTGGAACTGTGAAAACAAACATCCACCTGGCTTTGAACACTTCCTAAATAAGTGTGCTCAGATGAACATGATGGATAGTATATTTCTTGTGAGAACTTGAAAGAACCATCTCCTCGGACTGTTATCAAAAGGAATGTTGCTGGCAGCCGAACAAAATATTCTTCTTATATGATAATGACTAATCTAACAGCAGTTTCAAATTGCATTCTACTGAGTAACATGATGGAGTGCCCTCTTTCATGGGAACATTATTTGAAATGCAATATTTATGGGTGATAACTAGTAACATTTTTCATTGGAAAGAAGGCTGTTCCAGGGCCTTGTGTGCCTTGGCAAACAGTAAAAGTGTTAATTGACATAGCACTAGGAGAATAATTATAACAGTATTAGGGTATCAGTGAATGTCATCATACCTGGATGGACATAATTAATTACCTGCATAATTAATGATCCTTGTAGGAGGATACAAAATCCTCAAAGATATAAAGAGTTGTCTTGAAAAAAAATGGCAGTATCCTGTATTTCAAAGTCAGGATTAAAACCATATTAAATGTATTTTGAAAAGGATAGTGATAGGGAAAGAAAAATGTAATCTGTCATTGAATGGGCAAATTTCAGATTTCAGACTGAAGTTAAACGTAAATACGATCTGCATTTAAAACAACGTGTACAAATTGTTGTCCAGAGCTAATAAACATTTCACAATGGCTCAGCCTGTACTACTTCCATCATTTAATGTAGCTGTTCTTCTCTGTTTATTGAACAGACTTTTGTTTTAATGCATCTGCTAATACTGAACGAAACAAATAGCTAATACATAAAGAGGATTTCCTATACTGACAAAAATATAAGCATTCTTAGAATTCAAATCTGACATGCAGAAAACAAACCCAAGTTGTGTTTCAAATAAAGTATTTTGTTTAGGATATAGAAAATAGAAAAATCTAAAGATACTTACACGAAACATAACACATCGGTTCATATTGCATATTGTTGATCTTCCAAATCATGGACTGGTTATTTGTTTTCTTCTATTTTATTTAGTATATTTGAAAACTGCTTATCAGCAATAGCTCCCATGTATTAATTATTGCTATATTTGCCTCAAAAAATATTTTTAGCAACTTATGTTTAGGAACATGGTATGATATTTTTAAACAGCCTCATTCAAGTATAACTTGCAAGTTTGGAGAGCAACTAAGTTTGGGACATACTAAGTAAACTTGTATCTTCAGGTGAATCTTGACTCTTGGCTGCTTGGACAAATCCATGCTATTTTCAGGGCAACATTTTTGGAAATGGCTTTTTGGAAATCCTCTAGGAGTGACAGAGACTGACTGGCCCAAAGTCACCCAACTGGCCTTACATCTAAAGTGGTAATAGGATTCATGGTCTCCCAGTTTCTAGTAATATACATAGAGGAAGACTGAAAAGAAAGAAGCACATAGATATGTATACAAGTTGGTTTGGAAAAATAACCATTTTCTTTAGTTTATTACACAAATGGAAATTTGCTCAGCAGAGGCTTAAATCTATCCTATCAAGTTGGAAGCCCCGAAGCCATCTATGAAAGAGTAACCATGAATTATAAGACACCAGCTGCTTGATAAACTCTCCCTTTTCTGATTCCAGATTGTGCAATATAGGGTTATTAAGCACCAATAGGCTATAATGTAGGGTTGACTTGCTCCGTGAAACTCACGCAAGAGTAGTTTTAAAAGCCCGCTTCAAGGAAAATAATATTTGTCTGCTGAATGATACAATATAATTGATTTCAGTGGCCAGAATGAAAAGGGAAGAATTCATTAAAAGTGGTTAGGAATTATTTTATCAGTGGTGTTATCTGTGGGACAAAGCACCAGTTTCTTCATCAGCCTTTCTAACAGCTGCTATTCTCTTTGTATTTAACAACAGGAGTGAGTAATAACAATCTGCCATTTTGAATTTCCATTAGCTTTCTGACATAAGGTGGTAGAATATTGAAATAACAGCCTCTTTTTTGGCATGTTACTTCCTACCAGTATTCTGGAGACACATTATGGCTCAGCAGGTATTCTGACTCATTAGGAAAAATGCTGGAATGTATATAATTAGGAAATGCCAAACCAGGGATCTGTATTAGTTCATTGTCTCAAGGTGCTGATACCAGCCAGAGACAAGAGGCTGATGCTAATTTTATCTTTAGGGGGGAAAAAAAGTCTGCTGATCAACTACAGTTTTGGAATTTAGGAATTAGGTAGACTATCCAGTAACCATACAACATCATCTGAACAACAACAACAACTCCTCCTCCTCTTGCACTTCTGATTATATATAAGCTTGTATATTCCAAAATACCTTTTCCTAATTATTGTTGAAATGCCTAATGTTTATGACAGATGATATAGATTAGCTGGACAGAGAGAGAGAGAGAGAGAGAGAGAGAGAGAGAGAGAGAGAGAGAGAGAGATATTCTGGTTGAGTCAGATTAGTTCTGTATGAATCTTCCATCTGGTTGAATGTTTCATTTAAAAGCAATGTAGGTGAAAAATACTATTCCTCTTATAATAGGATTTCTTTGTGCAGCGTTATTGTTTTTCATTTAACATGAACGAAATACAACTAATGTCTTCTGTCACCCTCTGAGGTGAAAAAACTCCTTTCTCTGGGAGTTTTTTGAAAATCGAAAGATCTGGATGAGACTTAAAACATTAATCAACCAAATTATGTGAGATGATAATCTCTTCCTCTTTCAAAGAAAATCATATTGTTTTTCATTTCTATCCTTAGTGCTGTTGCCATTGTTGAATGGGAAATTCTTGAAGTGCTATAAACAAAATGATTGATAAATGTTTTTTTAAAAAAATAATCTCTTTCCTTTTCTGCAGGTACCCCTGAAAGTGACACCATTTGTGAGAGATGTCCAGAAGGATATTTCTCTAATAATACATCATCCAAAGCTGCCTGTCAAATGCACACTAACTGCAGTGCCCTAAGTCTTAAATTGGTGCAGAAGGGAGACTCCACACATGACAACGTTTGCCAGGGAGAAGAGAATGATAAATTGGACCAGCAATGTGGAATCGGTGTGTATATAATAATAATAATAAAGCAAATAATGAAATTCCTCATGAGTTTGCAGCTGGCACACAGTGAAATTTTATTTAGGCTTGATTTTGTAGATTATACCTAGTAGACTAATACGCAGACTGGAAAATTGTCATCCGGTGGAAGGATTCTCATGTAAAAAAAGAGCCTGTATTTATTCATTATTGCCTGAGAGGACAGAAGCAAAACCAGAAGCCACACAGTGCAGCTACTCTATTGAATAACTTTGTCCTCCAAAGGAAGCATTTTGTTAACACTTGCAAAGTGTTAAGTTTAAAGTAAACTTAATAAACATTATTTTTCAGTAGGGTCCAACCCCTGTTGGTTTTCATAGGATTGTAGTTTTATAGAAAAATCAGACTGCACTTTTTGACAGCAGTTTTTGACATTTGTTCCAAAAGTTAAGGTCTTGATTTTAAAGTCAGTATCTGTATTGTATTAGATGTCACCCTGTGTGAAGAAGCGTTCTTCAGGTTCATTGTGCCCAAAAAGCTATCGCTATCATCCCCCTGGCTGAACACCCTCATGGACAGTCTGCCTGGCATGAAGATCAGTCTTGAAAACAGAGAAAGAATTAAACAAAAGAGTAGTGTGCAAGATCAGACCTTTCTGCTACTAAAGTTATGGAAAGAGCAAAATAAGGACCACAATACAGTCAAGAATATTGTCCAAGGTACGTATTAAAGTAAAGCAAGGGATTATGTTTACCCACTGGGTCAGTTTAGGTAAGATGTTTGTTCCTGAGTATAGATCGAATCACCACAACAGTCAAAGCAATAAGTTGAAGGTGGCCATTGTGGTTCTCACTTCAGTAATCAGAGTGCAGAAGCCACGTGGCCATGTATTGCATCTTTCAGTTAGGCTCTGGAGAACTGAGTGTATGAAAGTAGGAGACCAAGTGCAAAGCAACAGATAATTTCCCCCTTTCCCGTTTCTTCTTTCCTTTTAGTGTTGAGTAGGTTGAGGGAATTTTCTCCGGCTGCAGTATCGATAGCAGCCTGGAGCAAGATAAGAACTGCATTTGAAGTCAGTGGACTTGACTACAATCACCTTAAAACTGCTTTTGAAGGTTGGGTTTTTCAAATAAAAGTCCTTTTTTATTTGAAATCAGCTTTCTATGGCTTTCCACTTACTCCTAAGCATTAAATAAAGATGCCATGGCCACATCTTCCTCCTTGCTATTTTCTCCATGATGTTGCCTTCATCTCATCTTTAGTTCAGGAATGGGACAGGCTAAAGTTATCACTTGGTGTGTTGGTATTAAAATAAAATCCCTTACTGGGATATCATCCAAAGCAATCTCAAGAAGGGTAAAAGGAGTTTTAGATTAGATTGTGATCAGGAGGAAAGGGGAGAGAAAATTTTCTAGAAGTATAGATTTCTAGAGCCAGTTTGGTGTTGTGGTGAAGGCACTGGGATAGAAATCAGGAGCCTGTGAGTTCTAGTCTCATCTTAGACACAAACAGTGGTGGGATTCAAATATGTGAACAACCGGTTCTCTATGTGGATGCTGCTTCCGGAAGTCCATTCTGGGCCTGGGCAACAAAAAAATTAGTTACCGGTTCTGCCAAAGTGGTGCGAACTGGCTGCATTCCACCACTGGGCATGAAACTAGATGGGCCGTTCACTCTCTCTCAGCCCTAGGAAGCAGGAAATGGCAAGCCACTTCTGAAATCTTGCCAAGAAAACTGCCGGGACTTGTCTAGGCAGTTACCAGTCAACACTGACTTGAAAGCACACACACAAAATATTTTCTGACAACTTAATTTCACTTTAGCAGTGAGGAAAAAACATTGTGTCTTTTCAGTACTTTTAAGTTAATCTTGACTTTTGATGACTACATAGGCAAGTCTATGCAGGGTTTTTTGGTAACATTTTTGGGAAGTGGTTTGTCATTTTCTTCTTCCTTGAGCTGAGAGAAAGGAACTGGTACTGTCAGCTGGTTTTGTGCCTAAGATAGGACTCAAACTCCCAGCCTTCTGGCTTCTAGCCCATGCCTTTAACCATTCACAAAATGACAGAGTACAAAATGAAAATTCTTTTAGAGAAATCTGGGGTTATTATATCTGTATGGCCTCTAATCAGCCCAGATGACATTATGTCCATAAACTCTGATTCCCTTCCATTGGTTTTAATTTGTAGAGTTGGTTTCAAGAAAGTATTGACAGAAAGCAGGGCTTACGTCTATTAGCATTGTAGCAAAGGAGATAGGATCAATCATATTTTTGTGACCTTAATGAAGAAAACTAAACAAGTCTAATTCTTTTTTTTGTTTGTTTAGGCATTGATCTTTGTGAAAATAGTGTTTTAAAGCACATTGGACATCTCAACATCTCTCTTGAACAGCTCAGTATCCTGATGGACAACTTGCCAGGGAAACCTGTGGGTAGAGAAGAAACTGAACAGATTTTTAGGATGTGCAAATCCACAGAGCCAGTACTGAAGCTCTTGAATTTGTGGAGGATAAACAATAAAGACCGAGACACCATCAAGAGCCTGACATTAGGACTGAAGCACCTGAAATCATACCATTTCCCCAAGACAACAATTCAAGGTTTTCGGAAGGTGGTAAAATTCCTTCACAGCCTCACAATGTATAAATTATACCAGAAGCTTTTCTTAGAAATGCTAGGAAACCAGGTCCATTTGGTAAAAATGAGACGCGGGTAGTTTTAAGTTCTCTGATCTTTCATTTGCCACTTGCTGCTAGCAATAATTAAATGGGGGAGGGGAAAGTTTTCCTATATGACAATGCTTATTTATATTTATATGACTGACTGGGATAGCTTAGACTATCTTAGAACTTTTGTTGTTATTTTGTAATATTAAAATGCTTATCTGGACTCTGACTCCATCCAAGAATTCCAGTGAATTCCGTGGACAATAGAGAGAAATAATAGGGGAAAAAAACCCACCTCGATTTGCTATTTATATTAATTTCAAATCTAAATTGTTGCATGTATTTATTAACTTCATTGGCAACTGTTTGAGATTAAGTGCTGAAGCAGATGACCACTTGTTATAGAATCATATAGCTATAAGGGACCTTAGAGGTTTTCTAATCCAACCTTCTTCCCAAGTCCTTATACCAGTGGTGGCAAACCTATGGCATGGGTGCCAGAGGTGGCACTCAGAGCCCTCTCTGTGGGCACCCGTGCCGTCGCCCCAGTCCTAGGTCTTCAGCTGGGTTTCATAAAACCTTTTCGCTTTAGGTCTTTGCCGCCGTGTACAAAAAAAAAAAAGGTTCAATCAATCAGTCAATTTCAACTTCTCGTGGGGAAAAAAAGATCTTGCAAAGTTGGAATTGATTGATCAAACTTTTTAGTCCCACCCAGTCTGCCGTTACCACCGTAGCCACTCCCCCCCAATGGGCCACACCCACCCAGCACCCGACGATGCATAAGTGCAGTTGCAGTTTGGATTGCAGTTTGGGCATTTGGTCTCTAAAAGGTTTGCCATCACTGCCTTATACCATCCCGGACAAACAATGTCATTGTTTAATCACTTCTGGCCCAGTATGTATTAATGACCATAAAATTTTATATTCTAGCCCTTAAGAAGTCTCTAGCGTGGTATCACTGAAATTCAATATCAGATCAATTTCAGGCAAAGAAAAAAAAAGGCTGTCGTGCATTCGGGTGTGCTTTATGCATCTTAAATGCAACCTTTCTCTTTCTCTGCTTACATGACTTCATGATATTATCTTAGTGCCCTTTCCTATCATTGGTTACTGATAATAAAAAAAGGTATGTCATGGCTAGAAACTACAAAGGCAAATCCACAATCGAGGAAAAGCATAGTTCCATTTGCATAAAGAGGCCAGTGGCCATTCATCTTCTACTACCACAATATTGTTTCTCAAACCTATCAGCCGTATCATGCACGGAAGGGCTGGGGAATTCTGGGAACTGAACTCAATGCATCTTAAAGTTGTGTTTCTCAAACATGTCAATCTTAAGATGCATGGACTTCAACTCCCAGAATTCCCCAGCCCATTCATACATTTTAAAGTTCACAAGTTTGAGAAACATTGTTCAACTCACTTTTCTGCCATGTCTCAAGCTACTCCTTACTTACATCTCTGTCATGAAGCACATACTTGATTCCAGAACAGAGTCAGTGGTATTCATCTCACGCGCAAAAGTTTCAAAAAGTATCCCACATTTTGCTTCCCATAACTCTGTAGAAATGATTGCTATAGTTTCAATTCAATAGATCCAAAATCTTTAAATTCTGTTATAGTGGCTAGTTCTGTGTTTGTCCATTTTTGCTATTGTGGTTTTTAGATGGGCAGAAACTGCAGTTCCCAATATTTGTAGCCTGTAGGTGTCAAGTTCACCCAAGCTAAATTGGATTATTTTTTAGTATTCCTACCAGTTCAGTCCCACGTTCACATCTATTGAATGAACTTGAGTTAATATAAGGAAACAAACATTTTTGCTACTTTCTGCCACCCAAGGGAAATATATATATATATATTTGTAAAAAAAATTAACATATCCTTTCCTTTCTCCCTCCAAGCCCCTGATTCATTAATATTTTTTCTTTTACTAAAAACACAAATTCTACTATCTAAAATCACTTTTTCCTTGTTCCAAGTGGCACTCGTGTGGATCCATACACAGCAGGCTTGAAGCTTTCTCTAAACAAGCAGTTGCAATAACTGTTTCTTGAAGAAAAAAAGTATTGTTGTTTTGTTTCATTTTTCAATTTAATCCTGAGTGTATGAAGGAATCTTTAATTTAAATTATAAATAAGTTGCAGGACTCCAGTGATGTCATCAGAACAAGCAGGCTGTCTAATCTTTTGCATTGTCTGTTGGCTGGCTTCCAAGGTTGATAAAATTTCCAAGTCAAAAGCTTTTTGCCTGTTTTCACCCTCAGATTTACAGAGGGGAATGAATGGAATATGTACTGTTTATTTTCAAGCTAAATGGGATGGGGAGATATTTATATGTTCTGTTTTGCAGTAGATCTGTCTGTTATTCTTCCTCTGTGGATTTTTAAAGATTGTTTCATAGGTGTCTCTGTATAGAATGTAATACCTTTTGGAAATAATTTCCAGGGGGGGGGGGAACCATGTTGCAAGTAGCTCATTAAGAAGCTGTACATTTTGTTTTAGAACATGAATGTACCCTATTTAAGAGATGGGTTTTCAAGTTGGATTTTTAACCTTGTTTTATAAAGCTATTTTTTTCATTTAAAATATGTGGCTCTTTGATTCTTTTGTCTCACAGTACCTAAAAACCCTGTTCATGCTATTCAGAAGTCAAATGGTAGAGGAACCATCTTATTACATGGACCTGATCTCCACAGTATGGTGGCTGAATATAATTTTAGTTCTTTCCACAGCTAAGTATTGGTGACAACCAGGATTCCCAGTCATCTGGGGGAGTTTAATCTGGTTCAGCAGAATATGGTATCCATCTTCCTTTAACCTTTCTTACCTTATAAAAATCCCTCCAGTTTTTAGGTTGACAATGCTTTTATAGATATAAAACAGTGTTTCTCAACTTAGACAACTTCCAGGTAGATATACTTCAAGCATTTCTAGCAATAATAATGCTAGATGGGGAATTCCAAAAGGTGAATTTCATATATTTGTGATTTGCCCTGTTTGGAAAACGCTGATCTAAACATATGAACAAATGATGCTACATTATACTGACTATGTTCATATAATGTGCTAATTCATGGTTAACGGATTCATAGTTGGTTGACTTATTACAACTGTTTGGATTCATACAGCATTAACTTTACTGAAAGTATTTACATGATGCATTCAGCTACAGATTAGATACCGTATTTTAATGTATTGCTGTATTAACTTAGCCTTTGGATTGGAACTTGGTTTTCTCATGCCCCATATTAGGTTGGACAATGTCTATAGAATTCAATGAAGACTTAAATTCTGACAAATGTTCTCAAGGAGATTCTATCTTAGAGCAGGGGTCTTCAAACTTGGCCCTTTTATGACTTGTGGACTTCAACTCCCAGAATTCCTCAGCCAGGGAGTTAAAGACCACAAGTCATAAAAGGGCCAAGTTTGAAGACCCCTGATCTAGAGTTATCTCACTTTCTAACTACTGGTAGCTCCCTACAGTTTTCACAAAGACATTTTCCTAACACCTGATACCAGATTGCTTAGCTGCAAACTAAATTTGGGACCTTTAGAACAAATATGTGTTTAAGAGTGAGTTATGATGCCTTTCAGTATAAACAAAAACACAGGGAGCCAGCTAAGCAAAGAAGAGAATGCAAGACTTATAAAAGCAATTCAGAGTCCTGTTGGATTGGAGGAACATATAATGATAGATAATACTGTGAAATAATTCAATGCATGCAGATATCACAAATTGTTCATATTAGGAGTATTTGATGGCCATCACAATTATGAAACCAGACCAACCAAGATAACTTACATAGTGTATAAATTCAGAAGCACAGATACATACAGTGTAAGAATGCCTTACACTGAATATACTTCTAGGCCAATATTGTCAATTCTACTTTCATTCCATACTAGACAACCTGTGATCCAGTCAGTCATTGATTCAGTTCAGTTTATTCAGGAAACATTGTTTCATAGATATTTACTTATCTAAACAGATCAACAGAATAACCATGGGTAGGCAGGGAAAAAAAAACCATTGGAAGCAGAAGCAATTTCCTACTTCCTGCTACTTCCCTAGTGACCTTATTTTTCTGAAGCTTGAAGGAAGAAAGTCGATGGGGATCTAGCAAGGAAAGATACAAGTTGCTGGGTAAGCCTTTCCCCTCTGGACACTCCACCCAAATAATCTGTGTTTATGTTGCACTGGCCACCGCTGCACACCCTCTCCAATCTGCACCACACCACCTGCACACTGTCTGGCTGTGTTACACCTTTGTGAACTCTCCTTGACATATGCCATGCTCTCGCATACTCCCACACTTCCTCCCCCATCTGGAAGTAGCCACTTACCTATTTGTTGGCCTAGAAGTTGCAACCTCCTGCTGGCTTCCCCACACACTAGGACACATAGATAGGGCAGGCTACAAAAGTCAGGGCCTTCCTAACCCTACCCAAGCACTCTGAATTAGTTGGTGAAGTCCATTTTGCTGTATGGGTTCATTATGACCCAACCCTAACCCTAAGTGGAATTTTCCTCCAATGGGATTTTCCCATGTATTTTACCAGGAAACATAGATAGGGCAGGCAAGAAAAGTGAGCGCCTTCCTAACAATACCCAAGATATCTGAATTTGTTGGTGATTTCAATTTTGCTTTTTATGGTTCATGGTGACCTAACCCTAAACCTAAGTGGAATTTTCCTCCAATAGGATTTTCCTTGAATTTTACCAGGAAACATACATAGGGCAGCACCAACAAATTCAGAGTGCTTGGGTAGGGTTAGGAGGGCACTGTCTTTTCTTGACTCCCATATCTATGTTTCCTGGTAAAATACATGGGAAAATCCCATTGGAGGAAAATTCCACTTAGGGTTAGGGTGAGGTCACCATGAACTCAAACAGCAAAATGGACATCACCAACATATTCAGAGTGCTTGGGTAGGGATAGGAGGGCACTGACTTTTATAGCCTGCCCTATCTATGTATCCTGGTAAAATACATGGGAAAATCCCATTGGAGGAAAATTCCACTTACGGTTAGGGTTAGGTCACCATGAACCCATACAGCGAAATGTACATCGCCAACCAATTCAGAATGCCTGGGTAGGGTTAAAAGGGCCCTGACTTTTATAGCCTGCCCTATCTATGTTTCCTGGTAAAATATATGGGAAAATCCCATTGGAGGAAAATTCCACTTAGGATTAGGTTGAGGTCAGCATGAACTGAAACAGCAAAATGGACACCATTAACAAATTCAGAGTGCTTGGGTAGGGTTAGGAGGGCCCTTATTTTTATAGCCTGCCCTATCTATGTTTCCTGGTAAAATATATGGGAAAATCCCTTTGGAGGAATATTCCACTTAGGGTTAGGGTTAGGTCACCAAGAACGCATACAGCAAAATAGACATCACCAACAAATTCGGAGTGCTTGGGTAGGGATAGGAGGGCACTGTCTTTTCTTTCCTGCCCTATCTATGTTTCCTGGTAAAATACATGGGAAAATCCCATTGGAGGAAAATTCCACTTAGGGCTAGGGTGAGGTCACCAGGAACTC